TGTGAGCAGCTTGTTTGGGGGGATATGGGGACGGGGAGTGTGGCTCCTGCTGCTGTGTGCACTCCCGGGCAAGCCTGGGGGGCATGTAGCTCCCTGATCTATGCACAGGGTGAAGGCAGGCTGCCACTATAGGCTTTGCCTCAGGTGCCAAACTTCCTTGCTGTGGCACTGATGCCACCCTGCTCTGTCTTCTCTCTGACTTCAGGCTAATATGGCTAACTACCTCTCTACACAGGAGAGGAGAGGGGAAGTGAGGCAGAAGAATGGGAGTAGGGAGCACTTCCCTTCCAAGGAACAGCCTCTGGGTCACTCAACATAGCTTATACATTGGTGCAGAGGAACCAAGGAGGAGCATGGTGATAACTCTACTAACTGCTCTCAAGACTGTTGCAAACTGATGGCCCCATTCACCATCCCTGCTCCTTACTTTAAACTGTAATTGCCTGGGGAGATGAGCTGGAGGAAGGTGATGAAGCAGCAAGATGGGCATTAGTAGAGAGATGTAGATTTCCCATCATCTCAAACTCAGAGCTCCCTTCCTGATGCCAACTACCACCACCTTTTTTTGCCTTCTCTTCCTTCTCCCTTCAACTTGTAACCTCGCAAGTCTTAAGACACTTTGTTCTCTTGCTCCAAAATCGGGTTCCTTCAGTTTGTAAAGTTGGTGAGGTTTTATTTTATTTTTTTTGGCTTTTTTAATGTAAAATTAATTTATACTCAGTACTGTATTTAAAGTTGCAAAAAAAAAAACCCAAAACCAAAAAAAACCCAACAAAACAAAAAAAAAACTCTCAACAAAGTTTGATATTTGTGTGTATGTTCTACAGTAGGCAATATTAAAAAGGGGGTGGGAAATCGAAGGCCAGCCAGGGAATCTCTTTAATTTCTAGAACATTGTAACTGAGATTACAGAATTAGAGCAGCCAGCACAGGAAAAGTCCTTGCTTTTCACATGCACACACATACAAACATGCACACCCTTGTCAGTAGCCAGGGCAAGGTTGTTCCCTACAGCATTATTCCCCACTGGACTGGGCCTTTCCCACTGGACTGGGCTATGTGGTTTTAAGTGACTCAGGTGTTGGGGTTTTCCCATTCTTTAAAGCTCCACCGTTGGCAGACACATTCCAGCATCCAGCCAGAACACTCCTTTGTTCACTTCCATCTTGTTAATTCACGTTTTATTCCTTTGAACAATTCACAACAATTCATTTCCCTCCATGGAGTTTACTCTCTTCAAAGACTTGCAAACAGCATATCCCTCCTGTTAGTCAATGTCTAGACAGTTTCAGCTCTTTTTCTCTTTCCTCATAAGGGTTCAGAAAGCCAATGTGTTTCCCCTTCCTCTGAGTAAGGGAGGTGTTGCACATTCTGGCACCCATGTGTAAGACAGCTATCCTATGCCTCTGTGCAGTTAGCATATAGGTGGGTATAAACAGCCTCCTCCCTCTGGGCCAGTCCACAAGCAGCTACTGAATCTCCCTTGAAATGAGCAAACTCCTAGGCTACAAAAAGACTGAATTTGTCCCAGGATAAACCATTTTATCCAGGAACAAAGTGCAGTCGTTTAGATACTAATGTTTGTTGCCTCGGGATAAAACCTAAAAAGGCTCACAGTATAAAAAGTACTAACAGTTTATCCTGGGACATAGTAAAGTGTGTCTGAATGGTCATCCTGGGATTACATCATTAAACCAATGGCGGAAAAGCAGAAGTGCATTCAGCCATGTACTAAACCCTGATTAGAAGGGTAATGTGTGTATATACCAGTCTCAGCATTTTCTGTTATGGGACAAACACAGGCACAACTTGTCCAAGGTCAAATGCAATGCGTGTTCCCATCCCTAGAGCCATTCCCCCTACGTCTTCATTCCCTAATTCCACTGCCTTGCTCATTGTCCTTGTTATACATTGTTTTTCTAACTAGGAAAGTAACTCTGAAGTTTGGAGAAGTAGCACATAAAACTCTGCAGGCAGCAATTTGAGTTCAGTTGTATCAGGCTACCCCAGAATTTCCCCTGCTGTTTGCTCGGAGACATTATTCTTCCCTTTCCTTCCTGAAGTACTCAATTCTCTGTGCTCTGTGATAGAAGGAGCTGAACAACAGCCACCAAAATAATGAGCAGAGAAGGTAGGCCTAAAGAGAAACTGCTCATTCTGCTCCATAGGTGGCAAATCCATGAAGCTCCATGTCTTGCTTAATCCTCAGTTAAGAGGCTCCCTCCAAATGCAGGGCCTGGGGTCTGGGGTTCCAAGGATCCTGTCATACTCCACCAATCTTCATTTAAATTGCAGAGGCCAAAAGGGCCTGCAAAGCACAGTGGGATTAGCAGGGCAATGATACTAAGGAAATCTAGGACAGATAATAATGCTGCTGCCTTTGATCTAGAAATTGGGACTGGAATGTCTGTGAGAATAGGTGTTTTCTCCTCAAACTCTTCCAGGATGGTTTTGTGATTTGAGGGGCTTCAGGGAGGTTGAGACAAGGGACATTGGATGTAAGGTAATGGAGAAACGGGTCCCTGCAAGAAACTGTACTTCCACTTGTGAAGAAAAAGGAAGAGCTGCATTCCCACTCCATAAACCTGGGATGGGACATGTTCCCTGTCTGCCCTTTATACATATATGGCCCCTGCTGCAGCCGTTCAAAGAGCCAAGTGCAAAGCCATCTGCAAGACTGGTAACAAGCAGGTATGTATCTAGGTTCAAACTATGCTAAGGTGAGTAAGTGTGTTGCAAGAAACCATTGCTTAGAAAACCTTGACATTACAACAAGCATCTTGCTCCCCTATATAACAGCTGCCTCAGCTGATTGTAATACCTAACTGTAGTATCTTGGAGTACACTTGGAGTAATCAATAATGTTTTCTCTACAGTGAAGCCAAGAAACTACAGCAATGCAACTGCACAGGTACAGTCACACCTCCAAAGTCTATCTCATAAACCAGTGCCTTGCATT